AAAGCTGGTAATAGGGAACCTAAGGTAGAGAAGGGGGAGAGTGTTGACATGTCATCGGGTTGGCAACCAATGTTGCAAAACAATATGTGTACTAATTGTTTAATTAGAAGCTAGGCTAGTTTGTTCTGTAAACCTTCATCTAAAGTACAATTTAAAAAAAAAAGAAGTAGCTATCATTTACTGAATGCTTCTTGTGCTAGACACCATGCCAGGTGCTATGCAGACATTATTTCTGCATACAAAAGACGTGAATAAATCTACTTTTTCCAAAGCTAACAACATAAAATAAGAAAAAAATCTTCAAAATGCAGAAAAATCTATTTATTCACAAATTACACAATAAACACACATCCATTAATCAAAATAACATACCAAATTTTGAGTGTTCACTTCTTTAGATACCCAACTACCCCTTTTGAGAAGACTCCTTATTAAACAGAAGAAAGCAGAATCAGTATCTACTTTTGGATCATTCTAAACCTGACCCCTCTAACTAGAGCTAACTTTCTAACTTAAGAGAAAAATATAATACTTTACAAGGCAAGTGTCGACTTCTTCAACTCTGAAAAAAAGACATAAGCATCCATCAAAACAAAATTTTAAAAATTGTCTCATAAAAACATAAATCATTACTTACACACTCCAACAAGACCAGGCAAAATTCCTTAATATAAAGTAGCTTGCTTTCTTCTCTAACAAAGATTAAATTAATTTTACCCAAATAATATCTTCCTGAGTGTCTGAAATAAGAGTATTCAACAGTTCTATATCATTGTACTACAATATATGTAATGTAAATAAAACAATTCACATTAGCAATGACAATATTGATTTGTGAATGTCATTATGGCTTTTCAATGAAATATTTAATATATCCTTCTCTATTCATGGGATTGTACTATAAAGCATATTTTACTTTCTGTGTAGTTCTACTCTGTCCCGTAGGGTCACAATTAGTCGGAATCAACTCGACGGCAGTGAGTGTGTATTTTGTACCTAAGTTATTTGTTCACTGGCGCTCTAATAACAACATCCCTACTTATATTTTTAGAAAGATATAATTTAGCTATTTAAAATTGTGATTATTTCTCATTTGACTGACAAGTTCAGAAAAAGTTATGTAGGAAAGAATTCCAAATTATCAGGTGGGAAGTTACAAGGAAGAGATCTATTATTTTCAGACTTTTAAGCCTTTAAAAATAAGAAAAAGAAAATACCTGCTTTGGACTGGGACAATGTAGCAGTACAACTTGTTACAGTGTATCTGTAAAAGCCATTCATCTTTTTAAAAATGTATATTTTAAAAATGACTCAGTTGTGACAAGGACTACTCTACTTATAGTAATAATTAAAAAATAAATAAAACCATCATTCTGACATTTATCAGCACTTCACACATTTAACAAATACTAAAAGAGGCCACTGTCATTGCTATAATAACTTTAAATCCAAAAATATAAGCACAAGCCAGATACAAGAGAAACTTCAGAAAATGTTAAGAATGTATACATTTGCATGCATTTTCAGCTGAACTTTCAAAGATTCCACATATAACAAAATGACAACTTTGAATCAAAATGAATGTCCAAAAATATTCAAACCTTGTGATAGATTTAGTGTAATGAAATAAGAAGACCAGAAAAGTGAATATTAAAGGCAGTAAATAAAGAAAGTATTCACAAACTTCCTTTATCGTAAAAGCCCACGGTCAACATTTTAATAACACTGGCCATCAAGTGATTCGCTATTCATGAATTCACTTTTCAAGTTGTGTCTTAAAAATGTATCCATTCATATATTTTGATGAAATTTATTAACCAAAAACCATTTTATTTAGAATTTTAATCTTAAGAAATAAAAGCCTTAACTCACCAAAGCATAGTTCAAACACTATACAATAATCCTGCCATTTAGTTTTTATATGCCTCATCTGAAAAACTTATAAGTAGGAGTTTTGCCCTGTTTCTCCAGTCTAAGTGTCCCTATGTCTAAAATTTTAAGTGATAATCAAAAACATAGATTCAAATAATTCATGATATTCATGCTGCTTTATCGGGCTTTGATAAAAACAGAGCCGTCTGGTGTTGTAGCATGATCTTCCTTCTCAGTTACAGTCTCTACTGCCCCAGAAGCAGATACAATAACCATGGTTTTATTGGCTGAAACTGTCTTCTGTTTCTCAGCAATAGCTGCACAAACAGCAACAATCTCATCACTTTCAAAGTCATAGTCAGGAATTGACTTTGGTGAGAAATGTGTTGCTTCTGCCGGTGCTTTACTTTTTTCAATCCTTTGTGCTACCTTCTGCTGCTCCTGGAGCGTTCTCGCCCAAGAAAGGTCTTCATTCCATATTTCAGGGTTCATTGGATAGATGTGAAGCGCTACTTGAAAACTTCGAATTGCCTAGGAAAAACAGGTTACAGGTTTTCATTTTAAGAAATCGGTACACTTAATACAATGCATACTCTCCCTACATATACCTATATATAAACATAGATATATAGACATATATGTATCAGAATGTAAAAAAGGTTATTCCCCATGCATCAGCCATTTGTTGTATTGTGTGGGAATGCGTGTTGCTATGATGCTGGAAGCTACGTCACCGGTATTCAAATACCAGCAGGGTGACCCATGGTGGACAGGTTTCAGCGGAGCTTCCAGACTAAGACAGACAAGGAAGAAGGACCTGGCAGTCTACTTCTGAAAAATATGAGCCAGTGAAAACCTTATGTACAGCAGCGGAGCACTGTCTAATACAGTACTGGAAAATGAGTCCCTCAGGTTGGAAGGCACTCAAAATACGACTAGGGAAGAGCTGCCTCCTCAAAGTAGAGTCGACCTTAATGACGTGGATAAGTCAAGATTTGAGGATTTTCATTTGTTGATGTGGCACAACTCGAAAAGAAACAGTTGCAAACATCCATTAATAACTGGAATGTGGAATGTACTGAGTATGAATCTGGGAAAACTGGAAATCATCAAAAATGAAATGGAATGCATAAACATTGATATCCTAAGCATTAGTGAGCTGAAATGCACTGTTATTGGCCATTCTGAATAGGACAATCATACGGTCTACTATGCCTGGAAAGACAAATTGAAGAGGAATGGCACTGCATTCATTGTTGAAAAGAACATTTCAGATCTATCCTGAAGTACAACGCTGTCAATGATAGGATAATATCCATATACCTACAAGGAAGACCTGTTAATAGGCCTATTATTCAAATTTATGCACCAACCACTAAGGGCAAAGATGAAGAAATTGAAGATTTTTACTAACTTCTGCAATCTGAAATTGATTAAACATGCAATCAAGATGCATTGCTAATTACTGGTGATTGGAATGCAAAAGTTGGAAACAAGAAGGATTGGTAGTTAGAAAATATGGTCTTGGTGATAGAAATGACACTGGAGATCACATGATAGAATTTTGCAAGACCAACTACTTCTTCATTGCAAATACCTTCTTTCAACAACATAAACAGAGACTACACATGTAGACCTCATTAGATGGAATACACAGGAATCAAATCAACTACATCTGTGGAAAGAGATGATGGAAAACCTCAATATCATCAGTCAGAACAAGGCCAGGGGCTGATGCAGAACAAACCATCTATTGCTCATATGCAAGTTCAAGATAAAGCTGAAGAAAATTAGAACAAATCCACAAGACCCAAAGTACAATCTGAATTATATCCCCCCTGAATTTAGAGACCATTTCAAGAATAGATTTGATGCATTGAACACTAATGACCAAAGACCAGACAAGCTGCTGAATGACATCAAGGATATCATACATGAAGAAAGCAAGAGGTTGTTAAAAAGACAAGAAAGAAAGAAAAGACCAACATGGATGTCAGAAGAGACTCTGAAACTTGCTCTTGAATGTAGAGTAGCTAAAGCCAACAGAAGAATTGAGGAAGTAAAAGAGTTGAACGGAAGATTTCAAAGGGCAGCTCGAGAAGACAAAGTAAAGTATTATAATGACACATGCAAAGACCTGGATGTAGAAAATCAAAAGAGAAGAACGCGCTAGACATTTCTCAAGCTGAGAGAACTGAAGTAAAAATTCAAGCCCCGGGTTGCAATAGTGAAGGATTCAATGGGCAAAATACTGAACGACGCAGGAAGCATCAAAAGCAGATGGAAGGAATACACACAGCACTGTACCAAAAAGAACTGGTTGACATTCAACCATTTCAGGAGGTAGCATATGATCAAGAACCTATGGTACTGAAGGAAGAAGTTCAAGCTGCACTGAAGACACTGGTGAAAAGCAAGGCTCCAGGAATTGATGGAATACCAATCGAAATGTTTCAACAAACAGATGCAGTGCTGGAAGTGCTCACTTGTCTATGCCAAGAAATTTGGAAGACAGGTACCTGGCCAATCAACTGGAAGAGATCCATATTTATGCCTATTCCAAAGAAAGGTGATTCAAGCCAATGCGGAAATTATCGAATAATATCATTAATATCACACACAAGTAAAATTTTGCTGAAGATCATTCAAAAGCGGCTGCAACAGTATATCAACAGGAAAATGACAGAAATTCAAGCCAGATTCAGAAGAGGACGCGGAATGAAGGATATCATTGCTGATGTCAGATGGATCCTGGCTGAAAGCAGAGAATACCAGAAAGATGTTTACCTGTGTTTTATTGGCTATGCAAAGGCATTTGACTATGTGGATCATAACAAATTATAGATAACATTGAGAAGAATGGGAATTCCAGAACACTTAATTGTGCTCACGAGGAACCTGTACATAGATCAAAAGGCAGTCGTGCAAATAGAACAAGGGGATACTGCATAGTTTAAAGTCAGGAAAAGTGTGTGTCAGGTTATAAATCTGCTATTTATTTTTTGCATAGATTCGAAAACTGGATATTTAATTTTTGGCTCAGTTGATCCAAAAAGGTCAAAATAAACTTAAAATTTCAACATTCTAATAATCTGACTTCCTTACCAAGACTATCTCTCCTAATCCAAGCTGAGCACGTCCCAAAGTTTGCCAAGACTCCCATGAATGTGGATTTCTCTGGACAGCCATTTCTGCTGCGTGCACTGCTGGGAACATTTCATGAAGAGACATTAGGACCTATAGCCAAAAGGAAGAAGGAAAGAAAAAACTTGTCAGTAGTATTTATAAAATAGCAAACTATTGGTGAATAATCACACATTAAGAACCTTTTTCGTTTTTTTTTTTTAAATGCATTTTTAGTCTGGTAAACAAAGCATTTCAGTGGTTTTTATATCCTCCTTTGTCATTCAGGAGCCCTGGTGGCACAATGGTTAAGAGCATGGCCGGTAACCAAAAGTTCAGCAGTATGAATCCACCAGCCACTCCTTGGAAACCCTATGGGGCAGTTCTACTCTGCCCTATAGGGTCACTATGAGTCGGAATTGACTTGACAGCAACAGGTTTGGTTTAGTTTTGGTTTTGTCACCCAGGGTCAGGAATTATATTATTCTTTTTACTACTGAAATAACTATGAAAATATAAACCATTCCCTTTCTAATTATTGATCTCTATGTCCATCTGGCCGAAACCAGGTGGCCATATTCTAGCCATGGTGGCTTGGAGCTCTAATTCTACTTCTATTTATTCTGTTTACAATATGGCTTGTAGGGCATCCCACATCTTGCTGCTAAACCAGGTAATTTAAATTTGTTTAACTAGGCACTATGTCCCTAAGTGATCTTGCCATAAAGATCATTCAAACACTCCACGGGCCTTCACACCATCAAGTTCTTCAAATCATATAAATCAGAAAAATCAGGGAGCTCCAGAATCCTCTACTTCAGTCTATGGGAAAGGGCTGAATTTTATCTATAATCTTTGGGATCATTTGCACTCCAGGTTTGTAACACACCATTATTATCAGGTTCCAAATTAAACAATTCATTTCATACAGTTTGCCACAAAAAATGCTGCCTTTAATATATACATATTCAAGATTAAAAATTAAACACCTATCCAAATGAAGGTCCTCACAGTACCTCATTCAGTGGAAATAATTTATTTGGGTTTTCTCTACATAAACTAAAATCAAAGTTGATAAGGGGTATGGCCCATGTTTGAGATCATCATCAGAAATATTTAGGTAAGCAGATCAAGGCTGAATTACAACTAGTTCCTGTCAGAAATATGTTTAATGTTCTGTTTAAGATTTTAAAAGTCTCCTGGATAACCTAAACCAAGTACTCAGTTTTTCTTTATGGACTTTCCCACAAAATATTTGAAATGTATTTTTAAAATATAAATATTATTTTTAAACTATTAATAAATTCAGTCTATTCTGACCTTTTGCTAAGGACTAGGCTATTTTTAGAGAAATCTCATCATCAGGAAACCAATCTATCCTCATCTTAAAGGAAACTGAGTTAATGCCAAGTCCATCACAATTAATTTCTAAGGAAAGCAGATACTTTTCATTTATTCAAGAGAACATTAGTGACTTTTTAAAAGATAGCCATCTGCTCACATCTTATGTTGGTTAGGTTGAAATGACGGTTAACTTCATTGTGAAGGCAAATGAATTTCTAACTTTATGCATAAGACAGAGCCATAAATAACATGGTAAAAAAATTTTTTTTCCCAAATAAACTGTATTTGAAGAAAATAGGGGGAAATGCTATTTTGATTCATCACTGCTCACCAAACAAGCAGCACAATTTCATAATGAAAATAAAATTCTCCAAAGTTATTACCTGTGATTTCATCTCATACAGGGTAGCATCATTTGGGGTTAACTGAAGTGCTTCATCCCACTTCTGAATTGCCTCCCGATATCTGTGGTTGTTCAAGTTACATTAATATCATATTTTCAAGACACTCTTGAGAGTACATGACCAAGTTTAAAAATCAGCTTCTAGGAAATAATTATTTATCAAGAAATATCTCTACTCAGGAAATGATAATAATAACGTTACAAAAGCAGGTAAATTTAAGAGCTGAAGGGAAAGGACAACAAAAAAGAAAGAGGCAAAAAACAAATAAAAGAGATCCTGGCTATCTCTTCACAAGATTATTTTTTTCTGGGCTGAGAGATTACCACCAGAATTTCTCTTTTTTCATCAACCATAATATCTGTATATGTTGTCATTCACTTAGATTTATCATAGATTTTTTCTCAGGAATTTACAATCCAGATGCAACCCCAGGCTCTGTTGTGACATCTAGCTAGCACAGACAATAATTTAAGAAGCTGCCAGCTAATTTTGTAAAGATTCTTGGATTTTAAGTTTTTGTGTCTGTAAATTCCATGAGGGCAAGAGCAATGTCTATTTTGTTCATCATTCCTAATATATGGTAAGTGTATAATAAACAGGTCAAGTGAACAAAAAACAGTATTGTAATGGTGATTTCCACTACCATCTTTTCACTGATGTCCTCCCAGCTAAGTCTCTCTTAGTTGAGTTTATAGACAAATAAGATCTCCACCTGGATGTCCCACAGATGCCTCCAACTCAACATGCCAAAAACTGAACTAAGCATGGTCCATAGAAAATCTGCAGAAGCACAGCAAATACTTTTCTTCTTTTAAATAAAATTAGGGAACATGTAAATCCTACAAATTATCCCAAACAGTAATCTTTACATCTTTCATAAGTGGTTAACCCATGTATACTTGAATGCTTCTAGGAGGAGAAAGTTCTAATTATTAGAACATTCTTCATTATATTGAGCTGAAACTTTCCAACCCATACCTTTTCACCAATGCTACTAGTTCTGCTCTCTAGTGCTAAAAAGAAGACATATAATCAACCAGTTCTCATTCCTGGCTACACACAAAACGATCTAGGGAGTTAATGGAGGGGAAACACACACACATGCCTGGTCCCGGCCTCAGGCCAATTAAAACAGAATCTCTTGGGGTAGGGCCCAGGCATTTGTATTTTTATAAAGCTCCCCAAGTAATACTAATAACAAACCAGGGCTGTGAACCACTGATACTAGCTTTCATAGTACAATAAGCGCTATCATGTGCTATCTTCTCTTGAATCACTTCTTGTAACCTGTTTTCCAAACCCTTCATTTCCTGTATTATGTTCTTACGCATAATTTCCTACACCTAATATGTCAAGATCTTAAACAAACATAACGACCAAAACGTGGGCTGATCTACACAGATTACTGTTTAAATAGGGAGCAGGGAACTAAAGAAATAAAGGCAGAATTTGGTAGAAAATACAAATTTAAAGAACATAAAAAAGTCTATTCTCTCTTTTCCTCTTCCTCTTATAGAGTGCCTTTACTAGTAAATAATACAAATGGGCAATCCCATTTTCGAGGTCTCATGCCATTCTGGCAAAGGGCAAATGAGTTACAGCCACCTTAGAATAAGTCTGTCACAGTGCCAACTCCAAGGCTAGCAGCTGGAATGAGGGTGAGCAGTGTGGGAGTATGCTATCCAAAGCCTGCCTTAACAGCCATTATAGGCTGTAGTTGGAGCCTCAGTGGCTCAGGGGTTAAAGTGCTTGGCTGCTAACCGAAAGGTCGGCAGTTCAAACCCACCAACCACTCCGCTCCACGGGAGAAAGATGTGACAGTCTGCTTCTGTAAAGATTTCCAGCCTTAGAAACCCTGTAGGGCAGTTCTACTCTGTCCTATAGGGTCTCTATTAAGTCAGAATCGGCTCAATGGCAGTGGGTTTGTTTTTGTTTTGTTTATAGGCTGTGGTAGTGACTATGTTGTTTTTGTAGTAGCAGGCTAGATATCTAACTATCAGCTGGAGATTCACACCACTAAGGCCAGCAGCCTTTGTTTCCGGGTAAACTATCTATGGATATGTAGAGAAGGCTAACAGAGTTGCTGCCTGGACCACTGTTAATATCTTCTTTCCTAACATGGGCCCCTGCTGTGTTCCAATAAGACATCTGCTTGAACACTGTATTTAACTCAAAGTGAGACTACTCAAACTTTAGGAACTACTTTCCAACTATTTGAACACAGTGTGACAATCTTACTATTATTCAAGGTATTGCATTACTCACCTCATTTTTACGGTGCGATACCACGATGCTGTGTATTTTTCCCTGGCCCTGCCTAAGTCAGCACTGTTTTTATAAAGTTACAAATCAAATTACAAATCAAATACTAACTGAAAATTACTTCTGTATAAAGGATTTTGCCAAATCCAAGCATCTATCTACAACCAGGGTCCCGAAAGTAATAGAGAAGTAATAGTGGAAACACAGTCATTTAGGTATTGATTTCTTTCAATGATGGCTGTCTATCCACGTTCCTCCTTCCATCTGAGGCAGAGATTCCTTTGGAGTGCTACTTGTGTTGCTCTGCTTTCCACATACTTAGGAACTTATGCAAAGTATCAGGCCATGTCCATTAGCTTGGTTGCACAAGCCTGAGTGGGTGACACACAATTCCCCATGGGAACTCTTATTCTGAGAAGGTAGTAGACATTGAGTTATATAATTTAAATGGGTGAAATGTATGATATGTGAATTATATCTCTATAAAGCTGTGATTAATACACACACATACACACACACACATAAACACACATGTACCCCAAAATAATTGTTCACCACTGGAGATTGCCAGTGTACCAATTCATTATGTTGACGACTGGTAAGGGGGAAAAGAAGCATGCACTATTATGATCTTCCTACATGAACTGTATTTCAGAACAACCAACAGCTGATGAGGGAAAGTTCTTTATAAGGACAAAAAATCAGCTAATAAATGCAGAAGAAATATCAGAATTTTCCAAAAATCATTTTGTAACCCTCTATGAAGTAATAGATCTAGGCAATGATCATCAGTGGATGCTACAGCTGTCAGGGTTTATGGGTTGATGGGAAACTTTATAATGGAAAGATAAAGCTAGTATCCCACCTGAACCCTATGACTGGTTTAGTACTACTAACAGGAGGCAACCAGATATCATATTTATCATGTCGTGATGCAATAGAAAGTAAACAGCACTACCTAAGAATGTTTCTTTTAAAAATTTAACCAAGTCTCTACACCTAACTCCCAATTGATAGAAAATACATGAGATAGAGGAAGATATTAACGATAAAGGAGAAACATCAGGTAAATACAGAGTGTGGGACAGTTTACAAAGCAACTTGCCTGGTCAATTCAAAAAGTCAATGCCATAGAAAAAAATTTAACAGATGAGAGGAATATTCTTACACTCTAAATCAAGGGTTCACAAATGTTCTCTGTAAAGGGCCAGAGAGTAAATATTTTAGGCTTCGGGGCCAGATGGTTTCTGCCCCAACTACCCATGCTGTTATAGCATGAAATCAACCACCGACAGTAACAAAAGGCTATGGCTGTGTCCCAAAAGAACTTTGTTAACAAAAATAGATGGCAATGGCAGGCCAGATTTGGTCTGTGGGCAATAGTTTGTAACTTCCTATCAAATGGTTCAGAAAACATACATAGATAAAGCAAATATGGCAAGATGTTAACAACTGCTGAACCTAGGTAGTGGGTGTTCACTGTAGAATCCTTTAACTTTTCTGTATGTTTGAAACTTTTCATAACAAAACATTGGAAACAAATTCTTAAAAGAAGTTATACAAACTTTAGAACCCAAGTCTGTTACCTGATAAAAATGTATTCAAAAGAAAAAAAGGTAAAATATATTTTTAAATGCATATGTACTGTGACCCAGCAATCCATTTCTAGAAATCTTTCTTACAGACTGACCTGCTTGTGGACACACTTACATTTATACAAAGATATTCACTATATCATTTGTAAAAATAAAAGGGGAAAGTGTCCTTCCTCAAAGAGAGAGAATACATCATACAATAAAACACAAGTATCCCTTCATACCCAAATATTTCTGGTTCCTGATTTGAGATAGTAAGAGTCTGGATAGTAAGATAAGTAGTTCTGTATGTAATGATACCAAATGATTGCTAAGAGATACTAAGTGAAAAAGGCAAGGGAGAGAACAGTGTGTATATATTTAGAATGCTACCATTATGATGCTTTAAAAAATATAAAGACCTACATGGTTATAAATCTGAAGATTATCTTCCGAAGGATATCAAGAAACTGGTAATTGTGTGCCTGTGGGAGAGTGAATTAAAAGAGCAGGGGAAAGGAGTGGGAGCAAGACTTTGTTATTACTATGTACATATTTTTTAATCATGAGCATATATTATTGCCTTTTTCATTTTACTAAAAATTTTAAGAATAAATTAAACAAACCATGAGACTGAGTAAAGTAACACAGAGAGTGAGAGTAGAAGAGAAAGAGAGGGAATGCCAGGGCTGGGGCTTTCAACATTTGGAGATCAAGCAGAGAAAGAAGGACCAGCAAAGGAGAGTGAGAAGGACAGAGAGAGAGGATGGAGAAAAACCAGGAGTGAGTGTGTGATTTCACAGATATTGAGAGAGAAGTCTGTCAAGAAGAGAATGAGGAGTTGTACTGAACACCTCCAAAAGGTCTATTAAGATGTAGGTCATTGGTGACACTGACCAACACAGCATCCATGGAGTGCTAGAAACACAAACCACATCGAAGAGTGAAGTAGAAATGAGGAAATGGGGACAATGAATGCTGACAAGTCATGTGAGAAGTTTTTCTGTGAATACCAAAGAGAAAAATGGTAAGGCAACTGGACAGGGATGTAAGATCAAGACAGGGTTGACACAGATCTCAAACAATGTCCAAACTGAACTCATCATTATCCCCTACTCCAAACTTGTTGTTGTTCTTAGGTATCATCTAGTCAGTTCTGACTTGTAACAACCCTGTGTACAGCAGAATGAAACACTGCCCGGCCGTGCGCCATCCTCATAATCGT